GTAATGCCAGAGTTTACTCATGATTTCAAAAGTCAGTTTTCTTTTATCATCAGAAAGACTGATAAGGTAGAAAAAAACCCCACCATGGGTATGAGCTTTCTTGAGGTTACTCTCCAAAAGTCACACACAATAATATACCTGTAGAACAATAGCACAGTTTACAAATCTTTATTTGCTGGCATCACCTGATCTAGAACCCAGCTGCATTTACATCACAGTTTATGCCTTAATAAATCTCCAAATAAAGATCCTATGAAGTCTTTCATACTTCATTTATTTGCAATTGCCCCATGACCACAGACTTGTATTAACCCAAACAAAAGTAGACTGAGCAGATCCCAGTGGAGAGCAGGGACAATCTGAGGAGATTTCGAATGGCTTCCAGGGCTGATGTAACACCTGAAGAATAAGATGGGCACTGCACAGGCCTCCCACTTTGCAATCATGTTTTTGTGTCAATGGGACAATGCAAAGACACTCTGGATTTAAGTCCAGTACTTGAAAGATTCAAGCAAGCAAAAGCTCAGAATATTTTGCATGAAAAGCAACAAATGGTAGGACAATGAGATAATACAACAGAGGTGTTACACCTGCCAGATCTTTAATGAGATGGAACAGTATTTTCCCAATATTTCACATAACTTCTTGTAAAAGTAATGGCTCTGAGAAGCCTGTTAAGAAGCCAAACGAGAAGGGTTGCACCAGGTTCGATTACAGGTCCACTTAACTCTGTACCTAATTTCTAAGAGAGACCCATGTTTGGAAAACCAGAACCAGCACACAGTGGTAGCTCAGCAACCTGCAGCTGAGAGTTTACTCTCCCTGAGGAGAGTAATTTTTTTTTTTTAAATTAGTACATGGAAACCACACAGTTCAGTGAATTTCTGAAAACTTAGTTTCTTAGATTAATGAGTTTAACATAATTTATTGGGGTAATTATAAAGCTCCAAAGAAGAGGGAAAGTAAAAGAAAAAAAAACCCTAGCTTTGGTAGATGTCAACAGTGATGCTGTAAGATCTGGGATTAGCTTAGAGGAACAAGCACTCCAGAGCATGTAGTGAACAGGAGCTCCTCACATTAGTCATATGTTGAAGCATGCAGCAGAGCTTTTTAAAACAAAAAGGACTTAAAACATATCACTGCAATTACTTTCCTAAATCCAAAGTGATGCAGCCTCGAACGTAACCCAGATTCCTACCCAGCACTATACAGGTCCAAATCTCAAGATGTTTCTGAGCCAGTACTGTTCCTATACTCCCTGGCAATTAATACAGTTCTGCTGGTGCACCACAAATTTACCTGTTAAAAAGCACAGGACAAAATGAACTTGAGGCCACTGATGAAATATCAGTGCTATTAAGTTGTACAACTCAAATTCAGGCTTTCCCTTTCCTGGACTTTCTGGTGACTGCAAATGAACGTTTATGAAAGCAGCATGTAAGCCCCCTTGTGAAACACCGCTACTGCCATTTATCAGGCTTCATTTTGAGGTGTATGGTTTAGCACAGAAACTTACATGTAGTGAAGGGTTTAGGGATTTTTAAAAGCAGCTGATGAGCAGAACATAATGTTCTTTTAAAATAGCCATCAGCTTGAGTCAAGCTGAATACATTTCTATCCTTACAAAACCAAATTGCTGAATGTGCTCTGCAGTCTAGGTTACTTTCTTGCACAACTGAAGAAACAGCTGGTTTCTATAGGCATAAAATAGGCATTACACCCGCTCTTCTAATGAAAGAACCACTCAAAGCAATATCATTTACATAGAGTGCACTAGTCCAGTTGATCACCTATATTAAAAAAGTCCTGACAAGGAGGAACTGATGTACAGCTCATAAATAAGGGAGAAAGATAGTGTACTGCTCTTAAAGCCCAAGAAGGAAAAGAAACCAAAGGCAATTGAAATAAAACTGCAAAAAAGAGATGCATTTCCAAGGCAGCACATACATCATGTTGAACTATACAAAGTTCAACAAGGGGAAGTGCCAGATTCTGCACCTGGGGTGGGGTAACCCTGGATGTACATACAGACTGGGGAATGTGATGCTGGAAAGCAGTGCCATGGAAAGGGAGCTGGGGCGGGGGTCCTGTTTGATGGCAAGTTGAATATGAGTCAGCAGTGCCCTGGCAGCCAGGAGGGCCAACTGTGTCCTGGGGGCCATCAGGCAAAGCATCTCCAGCCGGTCAAGGGAGGGGACGTTCTACTCTGCTCTGCACTGCTGTGGCCTCACCTTGAATATTGTGTGTAGTTTTGGGCACCACAATACATGAAAGAAACTAACCTGTTAGAGAGTGTCCAAAGGAGGGCAATGAAGATGGTGAAAGGTCTTGAGGAGAAGCCATATGAGGACCAGTTGAGGTCACTTGGTCTGTTCAGCCTGGAGAAGAGGAGACTGAGGGGAGACCTCATTGCAGGCTACAACTTCCTCATGAGGGGAAGAGGAGGGGCAGGCACTGATCTCTTCTCTGTGGCGACCAGTGACAGAATCTGAGAGAACGGCCTGAAGTTGTGTCAGGGGAGGTTTAGGTTGGATATCAGAAAGAGATTCTTCACCCAAGGGGTGGCTGGGTGCTGGAACAGGCTCCCCAGGGCAGTAGTCACAGCACGAAGCCTGACAGAGTTCAAGAAGCGTCTGGATGATACTCTCAGGAACACGGTGGGACTCTTGGGGGTGGTCCTGTGCAGGGTTAAGAGTTCGACTCGATGATTCTTGTGGGTCCCTTCCAACTCAGCATATTCTCTGATTCTGTGGTTATTCTGTCCTAAGTGGGTGTATTTGAAGCAAATTTACTTCAGACCAGCTTAAAATTATATTTGTTCATATGGGCACCAATGTCCTATTGAGTTGTATCATGGGCAGATAGAGAGGTGAAGAACACATGCAAGATTAAGTGTCCAGAAACAGCCTTAGTAGCAGAAGTATGTTTTATTAACACATCTTGTATAATAATAGTGCACATAATTAGGTTAAGCTTAGCGATTTATGATTTAACAGTGTTCTTAACTTTAAAAATGTGAAAGAAGAATTTAGCACCAGGACATGGAAAATCAGGTAATGGTACTGGGAGGACATGTTCACTGACTGCAGCAGATGCAAGTGTACCAAGGAAAAAGATATGAGGCAAATGGTCAAGTTCAGAGCCCCCAAAATGGCATCCATCACCCTCCTGCAGGAACGTGATGAAAAATTCTGCTCCATCACCATGACAACTCATGCCACACCATTGCTATAGTAACTGGCTGAACATCATTAGTTTTTAACCATACACACAGTGGCCAACATGCAAAGGAGGAGGAGCCACTAGAACACTCATCTCTGCCCTGCAGCTGCTCCCACCCCAACCTATCTTTGCAGTTTAATCCAACCTCCTTCCATGTTCCCTCAGCCCCACACTGTCAGCCAAGCTCCCCACTACTGCCAGTTCTCCAAAACCAAGTCTGTCTCAAAATCAGAACACTAATTTCATGCATTTTACTGTTGGTTTTGGTTTTATTTTCCCCTGAGTGATTTATCAGGCTAAGATTAAATGCAAGTAGAAAATTTCATCTTTCCAATGAATCATTGAAAATCTGTTCCATTAATCCAGCTCGCCATGGGGTGGCTTTACACGCTGTATTTGCATCCTACGCACGCAGTCACAGTATCAGTTGAAAGGCACCGTCCTGTCCCCTGAAGAACCGTGATTTCAACATCGTCATGGTGCAAGAATGCATTTACTGTGCACCACCAAAACCCACGTGATTATAATTTTAATACTCCAGCTCAGACTGGGACACTGCCTCCCTGGCAGCGTAGTCATTGTGTGCAGTAAAACAGCAACAGGGAACACTAATGCTTTTCAGATCATGGCAAAGCTCAAAAGTTTGCAGTTAGATAATGTCTTTTATCCAGCTACCTTCCAACGTGGAAGAAGGAAAAATAAATACAATTATTACTGAGTTTTTACCCGGTCTGGGGGCAGAGGGTGAAGCACAAGCTTGGCTGCCATCACAAAAGGATGCAACAGGTTTGGAGCAGTTTGTGGCGGTCTGGGGGCACTGCCCTGACATGACTCCCTGGCACAGCAAGCCCATGCCTGCACCAAATGCTGCAGGTACACGCTGTGTGTATAAATCATGCTGAAAGTGCCTCTCTTGGAGAACAGATGGGAGAAGACAAGGTCCCTGTTGGCTGCTCCTTCTTTGACCCTTGTGTCCCCTCCACTTTCCCTTCATTTCTCACACCCCTCCTCTGCCTCCTGCAGGTTCTCCTTGGGGTTTATACAGGTTGTAGTTAGCACTGGCAAAACTCCCCATCTCCATGCCAAAGGGAAGCAGTGAGTGGCACAGGCACCTGCCCACAGCCCTCATGCCCAAGCACATCCAGCAGTATCTTGTGGGGCCTGTGAAAGGTGGAAGATGTTTCTGCCCACGGCAGGGGGTTCGAACTAGATTATCTTTAAGGTCCCTTCCAACACAAACCGTTCTATGGTTTTATGATGACCCAAAGCAGCACAACATTGGCCCCAGGGTCTGAGCCACCCATTCCTTGCACTGCCCCATCCCTGCACCTCAGCCTCTAATGCTCAGGGTTGGTGTGGTATAACCCCACTTGGGCTAGTACAGTATAACCACATATCAGACATATATGGTGATACCATACATATACATATATATATATACACACACATACATATATATATGTGTATATATATATATACAAACACACACTGTTATACCATATGTATATATATATAATTATATACCACAGTAGCTCTGCCCACATTAGACTATCAAAATCCTATTACTTTGCATTAGGCTTAAACCCTAGCTTGATGCTCCCTACGTGGCCTTTAACAGGTCATACTGCCCTGCCTTGGTAAACAATAATTATGTAGTTCTCCCACTGTTTAGGAAGAAAAAGGCAAGGAAGGAAAAAAAAACACTCCCTCTTTTCTAAAATGAAATTCAATTTTAAATGAAGGGCAGTTTTCAAAAATCACAAAAAAATCACAAAAGCTCTTTTATAGCTTTTTCTTTGTAATTCAATAGAAAAGTTTCTCACAAAGAAGAGGAAACAACATCATTTTAGTATTCATATATACATTAAGGTATGAAACGAGATACCCGCTATTGCTGTTTACAGCTGAAACAGAACTACATAAATCACTCTATGGGGAAGAAAGACAAAAAGATTCAAACAAATCTGACTAGAGCAGTAAAATCTATCTCATATTTATACATGCATAGGAGAGTATAATTTTATTCTGGAAAGAGATTACAAATTACTTTTTTCTTTCTGTATTAACACTACCCTCTAGTGGCAGTTGTCTGGCTTTACTGAGGCAAAAATGTAATTTAACATATTGATCATATGCATTAAGAAATGGCACAAAAATTGCAAATAGGAATTTGTTTACCTGCGCTGAATTAAGTGCCCACACTCTGCAGTCTGTGAAACTCGCAGCTTTTGAAAAAGCTGTATCTGGCTCTTTTCAAGCATACCTTATTTTTGTAAGTGCTTAAGAAAATGCTAACATGAAAAGCATAAAACAATAAAGTCCCTTTAATGCACAGTTGCAGAATAACCTTCCAGACAGATGAGTCCCTCAGTGCTTGATGAGCAAATTATACTCTGAAGCATGAGCCTTACACTTTCAATATATTATTATCAGCCCCCTGAAGATACTTTGGTTGACAGCTTTAAAGGTAGATATGGCAAGAGCTTGTGATTATTCTGTCTCTGAACTTGCACCTCCTTCTTGGACATACTACAAACTCAAGAGTAAGGTGGTGGTGGGATTTTTTTCACCATTCCCCTATAATTTCAGTCAGAAACAACTAAAATGAACCATTCCTAATGTAGCAGCCATTGTTTTAACAAATCATTCCCAAGTACAGATGAGCCTGAGGCATCCACAGCATATTTAGATATTGAGAGCCTTACGTCTAAGGGGTATTTCAGTCTACAGGGACACCAAGAAAAATTAGATAGTGCCACAAATCCCACTAGGCTGGACCAAGATTTATACTCATCTATTTTTATACCTGAGAGTGAGTAATGCACAGCTTTGGAAATTTGCCTCCCACTTTTCTCACCGTGAGGTACAGTCAGCAGGTCAGCCAGCCTGAGGCAACTGCTGTATTGGGAAAACTCAGTGTACAAAATTTTGGAGTCCTCCAAGCAAAGCCAGCCTGAGTGCAGAGTATAACTTCACTGTGGAGATAGCTCATCAGCTACATCCCACTGTATTGAATTTGCAGGTGAAATTGTAGATAAATTTCTTAGGAGGGTGGGGTGAAAACTTGATTCATTGCAGTAAGTCCTTGCTTCTGTAACGATAAATGAGGATCAGGTTTTTTCCAAAAAGCTATTATCCAATGACAGTTCAAAGTAATTTGCTCTTTCTCTCTCTGGACAGGGATGCATGAAGAAAAGGGAAAGATAGCTTTTATTCAGCTTACACATCTTGCCTTCAGCAGAGCTCCAGGCACTTTACTCAGAGGCAAGCTCTACACCTAGAATGGGAATTAATCCACCAACTTTTTTAAACAGTTTGGACAGCTTTGCATCATCAGATTAAACACAGAAGGCTAAACCTGTTAGTACTCCCAATCCCCCACCCCATTCCCTCTGATAAGAGCTGGCATCTCTCGGAGTGGGGACACGAGCCAGCTGTACTGCTGGAGGCAAAAGCAGCCTCAGCTCTCCCACTACAAGTCTAATGTTGATCCCTCACATTAAACGCATGGTACCATAACCCAAGTTTTCATTCTTTAAGCCTTGTACATTCCTGGAGTTTTACCTCTAGGTGATATGGAGGTCTCAGGCAGTCACAGGCAGTCCTTGGGGAAGCATCACTACCAGTCCCTGAAGAACCAGACTCAATCACACTGGGAGGATGTGCAACTCCAGGCTGCAGTCACTACCCTCGATCCTCCTGAAAGCAGGGTGGTCCTTTTGCTACTGTTCACTGTTCACACAGTGATGACTGCACCCACCCACAAAGCAGATGAGTTTCTCCTCTTCAGACAATTTAACCTCTCATCCCCCATTTGCCAAGAGAATGATCCAGGGAGAGGAAGTTTGCTCCTCACCTGAGAAAGTAGCGGAAATACCTGGAGACTCTGCTGAACATCTGCACAACCACACAGAAAAGTGAAGAGGTTGACTTGGAATCCTCTGGTGAAAGACAACATTGAACTTGGTTGAAGTAAATGCTTAAGAGACCATCAGGCCATTCTGTACTACAGGAGACAATGCCCTCTGCTTGTGTTCTCAGAGAGGACTAACTCCAAGACAAAATCAAAGGCTGGGAATTAGACACCTCCAGCCTCCCTTAGCATCTCTTGCTGGCCCTCATTTTGCTCAAGATCACGTCATCCTTTCCCCAGGAAATTTACAATTCTTGGTTCCATGTTGTGCATCCCAGTACAGGATCATGGTGATGCTGGCTCTTTTTGGCTCTGATCTGAACAATTCAACTTTTACACACTAAAAAACCTCTCAGTACCTTTGTAGCAAATGAAGCATACACCACAGAGACAAAAGCTTAGTGCCACTACATATTCTATCTTATCAGCAGTGACCTGCACAAATAAAGCACAACATTGCATTGCTCTGAAGCTTCAGATGTTCACTTATAGCACAGTAGCAGCATATCCCATCTAACAATGGGATACCACAAAGGCTGCCTTAATCACCTGCCCAAAAATAGCTGCTTTGCCAAGATTGTTGGTACCTAAAGATTAAACACCACCATCCTGGAAACAGTATAGTTATTTCAAAGAAGTCACATAAAACAAGCAGCTGCAACTGCAGGCGGGGTCTAGCATAGCTTTTTCAGGACATAAAATCTATATGGATTTCTGTGAAATTAGGCCACAACACAGAGGGGCCAACAAAAACCTTCTGCTCACAGTCCATCTGCAATGCAGTCCTTCAGCATCTGTTTTCTCCCTGCCTGTCTGTCCCAGAGCTGTCACCCGCTCCAGCCCATCTTGTAGTGACTTGTCTCCTCCCTCATTTTGCTATTCTCATGCTGCTACGTGAGGCCAGGGCACAGCCAGGTCCCAGCTGCAAGGTAGAGAACTTTGTTACCCAACCACAAACCCAGCAGTTGCAACGCCATGTTGAAAGTTAGGAGAGAACTGAACTCAGGCCTGCAAACTCTCCCAGAAAAGCCCCATAACAACTGCAAAATAAGTCAGGCAATACGTTGAATGCGTTCATGCACAAGAGAGGGAAAGAGGCAGTTCCTGGAGGAAAATGATTGAATACCTAAAGCAGTTTCATGGCAAAAATCTGATACCTTTATCCTCCAACGGAGACTTAATCTTTAAATCAGTCCTTTGCTAACAGGAAATCAAAGTCCAATTCCATCTTACATTTGACTTCTGTATTTTCTGCCTGCTCTGCAAAGCATTATGCTGTTGCTGTCCTTTGTCAGCATTCTCATTTCCAGAGCCTCTCCTGCTCTTCCCATAACGGCTCCTGCCTTTGCACAATCGCAGCCCGAAGGCCATCCCTGCTGAGCCACACAACAGCTGTCCCCAGCAGGCAGGACACTGACCTACCGTTCTTGAGGCTCAGGCAGAGCCCCAGCAAATAAACAGTGCTTGGCCTCAGCTGCATCCACCTTGGCAGGGCTGGCTTACATCTTTCAGAGTCTGAAAACAGGACTAATGGAGAAAACAGGGCAGAAACACCAAATTTTCCAGCCAACTAAGCTTAGTACCAGCACTTCTGGAAGCAACCACAAAGCTGACCACAAGCCCAGGACGAGCCAAGCTGTGCTTACTGCAAGAGGAGGGGTTGTAGGCACTGGGCCTACATTGACTTGAGGAATGAAGTACAGCACACTGCTGATTTTCTTAAGCAAAGCTTGGTTATGAGAAGATCAGGACCCAGTGCAGTAAAAGGCAGCAGCAGACTGACCTACACAAGGAATCCTCAGATAAATGATATCAAAGAACTACCACTAGAATGATCACAAGTGTTTCAAAAGGTTCGTATATGAAGAGCAGGTCAGAGCAATAATTAATTGTGTGAGTGCCATAAAATTGCTTCCAGTTATAGTGCAGACTTTTTTTTTTTTAAAGTCAATTAGATAAACAATAAGTGTTAGTATTCAAATAGGTACCAGGAACTTACATTACTTTTAGATCATTAAAATCTGAATATTATGCATATGTTGCGGTCCTTTGCAGCACGATGCAAAATATATTAATAGTTTCCATTCCCTGCACTCTCCTCATGCAAAGGCAGGAGAAAAGGAAAGATATTTTATTTAAGAAAAAAAACTGAACACCACATGTTGAAGAAAACAGCTTACAAGACATAAATATAAAACACCTAGGAGTTCTTAGAATACATTTGCTGTCAAAAATCACACTGCAGGCAAAAGGTTACTAAATTAAATATTCTGCCAAAATCCTCATGGACTGAAGTAAGTGATGAGGTACATGCAATTTACTGCAAGATAAGCTTCCACACTGCTATTATAAGCAATCTGAGTGGCACTTGGAATATCAAATCTCAGTACCTGTTTTAAAAATGTTTAAATATGTCTGGAAGTGATGGCTTTCAGTACACCATCACAAACATCTTTATATCTTGCACTTGAAGTAGTAATTTATACAAGACTTTTAAAGCACATTAGTACATTTAATCTTGCTTAGCTACACTGGTGCAGAGGAAAAGCTGCCAGACAGGATATCACCCAGCTCAGCAAAAGTGTATTTGTTTTCCAGTTCTTACAGTAAAGAGACTGATCAATCTTTCCAGTACTGAAGTTAGTAACGAATATATTTTTTTTTCCAGTTACTGAGTTTCTGGTTCCTTTACTTACTCCACAGACATTTTCTCCTCCTTACTTAATTACGCAGGTTTTCATTACTGGTCTAGCCAATTTTACATCATCGATATAGAATCATAGAATGGTTTGGATTGGAAGGGACCTTCAAGATCATCTAGTTCCAACCCCTTTGCCATGAGCAGGGACACCTTGAACTAGACTAGGTTGCTAAAACCTCCATCCAACCTGACCTTGAACACCAGTTCAAGTATGGCGTCCATAACTTCTCTAGACAACCCGTTCCAGTGCCTCACCACCCTCACAGCAAAGAATTTCTTCCATATACCTAACCTAAATTTCCCTCTTTCAGTTTGAACCCAACTCAGACTCCCAACTACCTTATCTGTAATTTAAAACAAACTCCTCAAAGCAAGAAATAAGAACTGTGCCAGAATTTTTCATGGGTTTAACAAATCTATATTCATTCATCACACACACTCACACCGCACACACAGTTTTTGGTATAGCACACCTCAACTCTGCAAAACTATTTGATACTGACTCTAGCGTCACCTCTCTTCAGCTTCACCTGTTGTCATCCAAGCTACTTCCTACAGTCTCAATTTTCTGCTTCCCATCTTGTATTAATTTAAGGCTGAGATCTTAACAAGGAGAGTATCAGGGACAGGACTCTGAAACACAGATAGCTCCACAAAAGTTTCTCCAGCACCCAATTCTCTCCACTGCCTGCACATCTCTCCCATTCCCTCCCTTCCCACACCATGAGGGTAATGGTTATGGCTCCCTTTGCTTCTTCATCAACCAAAATATTCAGAACTTCTTACCCATGAGTCAGAAGGCCCCTCTGGCTGCTTCTCCAAGATTCTGTGAAGAAAACTGCAGCAAACCACCTTAGAATTGATAAGAGGCAAAGCAGGTCTCACCTCCTCCTGCACAGAAACATCACCTAACATCCCTTCCCTATTCTGAGACACCACTTGCCAAACACAGTGGCAGGAGCATGGGAACTGAACTACCAGGTCTGCTGAACAGTCACCTCCTTTTCCTCTCCCCATAAAAACCATTGGGAACAGCCTCTAGCCATTTCAACAACCGGTAAAAGCTGCTCCAAAGGGCACCAGATTTCTCCTTCACTTCTTCCAACTCATCCCCAGCAGCTCAGAAATGAACAAGAAGGTGCCTGTACCATGCACAGTCTCTTTCCTGTTTTCTTTCCTCTTTTCTATAGATAGTTAGTATGACAGGGAAATATTGTACAGGCAGACAGACTTTGTACAACACTTTATTACACTGCTGAAGACTGGGAATCAGTTTTAGCAACAGATTCTTGTTACTCAGGCTGAGGAAGTCAAAATTACAATGTTATTACAAGGTCACTGTCCCACAGAGGGAAGCACTCAAACTCTCTCAATACTGTCATTTGCAACTTTGTCCTGTTAAGAGCAATTCAAGCTGCAAAGTGTAATGCTATCACAAACAGGTACCCTCCAGTTTCTGGTATATTTGCAACTCTGGTTATTTTCCAGCAACAAAGAGCAGACTGAGCTTTTGAGAGTGATGCTGAAGTCAGACCGAGACTTCAGGTGAAAGGCAATAGCACAGATATTCACAACAGTTATAGCAAAGCACAGAAGGCTCCATTTGGCACAAAGTGGCAAGTCAGAGCTTGCATTTTGAGAACAGAATGTGCTTATATGATTGTTAAAAAATCAGCACTTGCAGCCAGGCAAGACAAGTTACCAGAACTTTAAGTGGGAGAGAAAGGGAATCATTAAAAGACACGTTTGCAATGGTACCTTTCATATTTCAGTCTTAACAGAAACCAACATTTTGACCTAAGCTCCCTTTTAAATTAAACCTGATGTTACACTTTACCAAATGTCAACTACTGACTTAATTTTACTACACTTATATATGTATATAAGTGCTCCTGAATTCCCATAAAAGCATGTGCACAACTGCATAGCTAACAGTTAGAACCCTGCAATGTAAGGCTACAGGTACAGCCAAATTGACCCTTTTATTGTATTTGGAAATACTGATTTCCAAATTAAAGCACTTTTGGGGTAACTAGAAAATATACTTTTTCCAAACTTGCAGTCTAGAAGTGGTGAAAGAGACATTTTAGAATGAGGTAAACACACTGCATAGGCTATATATTTAAATCCAAATCCCCAGTGTTTTGGCTTAATTATTAAATTATTTAAAACTGAACAGATTGAAAAAACTATGCATTTATAAAAATCTGAAAACAAATCCAGGTTGAGATGAACAGCAAACTAGAAAATAAATCATTTACAAAGGGCATTTCCTACTGCCTTTCTTTGCTTCTCTTTTAAGTTAGCCAGACAAAAGCACAATTTGAAAACAGCTTTGCTGCTTTTTCCGTGGAGTTGTTCCTTCTAGAACACCTGTGCAACTTCAGCTTGTCTCCTTCAGTTAGTCTGAGCCAAGACTATTCCTGTACCCACACTGTCACAGCACTCCGGTGAATACTGGCCTTCCAGCCCATGCTGCCGTTTTTCTTGCCCCAGTCCAGGTTCTGGAGCAATGACCAAGTTTTGTGACACAGGGCATTTATAACTGAGACTGGTGCTTAACAGAGAGTGTCAGAGACCTCAATTATCATTTTAAACCCTTTGAAAACTAAATTATAACTAACAATAGTGCTTTTCCTGATTCTCATATTTTTATTTAAAATGTATCCTTGCAGGTTCACTTTTTCTAATATTCCCTTGCATCAGCATTTAGTTCCCAGAAATCATTCCTCTCAGGCAATGCTGTTTTCTGAAAAGATACATCCTTACGACATTTTCAATAAACTCTGTAGAAGACAGTCAGTGATCAGACTAAGATAAAGTGCATATACTCCTTTCTGATACAGGCAACAAAATTGTTGGACTGAAAAAATAAATCATACTGAATACTGAAAACCACACCAAAAAAATCCCACTGTGGCTATTTAGCACCCCACAATTAAATTGCCCCACTGAGTACTGCCCAAAAATACTTTTCAAGTGTCTGCTAGCTTAAAAGAAAGGAACTTATAACATTAAAAAAAAAGTTCCTTTTCAATTAGACTCTGAGAATCATAAATTTATGTAACTCTTGAAAGCTACAGCTCCCTCAAGGCTGACATACTGCCTTGACAACTTATAAACAGTCTGTATTTCACCCTTTGGATCCAGGCTTCAAGCTCGCAAAAGCTTTGGAGTTCTTAAGGGAATGTGAAATTTCATTGAGAAAAGAAATAAAATGATAGTCCCTTTCTGACTTCTTGGATTCAAAAATAACTACAATGGTAAAGTGAGGTTCAGGGCGCGTCAGAAAGTACGTGCTTTGGACTTTGTCATCATAGAAGTGAACAACCTTCTCCAAGCTGTTGAGGTCAGAGGTTCTATCAGTCATAATCATGATCACGTTGGGCCAGTGCATAACAGGCCTGTCACTGGGCAGAGACACCACCGCAGGGTACTGATCCACTCCTTTGGGGGCTTCCCTGTATGAATGGGGATGGTGATAACCATGTCCCTGGAAACTCTCTGATCCACGATTGTCAAAAATTAAGGAAACATTGACGGCATCATACTTCCGGATGAAGCTGGAAATTTTCCCAAAGTAATCAGGATTTGTTTTAGCAGTCAAAGTTTTCATTTCAGATGCTGTTGTCTGTCGACTAAGGGCCTCATGAAAGTAAAAGCTAAACTTGGCAAGGAGAATGTTTTTGAGCTTCATCAGCCAGAGGAAGAGGTGCGGAGGTTGTACAGCCTTCTGAGACTGCCCTCCAAACAGGTGCTTCTTGGTCTCTCGTTGTTTCTCAAAAATTTGACCCCACGTCTGTAGTTTTGTGTGAGCACTGTGCAAGTTGACCAGGGATGGAAGGAACTTCCACTCTGAGATCTGAGTCTGAGCCTTTAGGAGATGAGCAAGCACATCTACTTCCAGCTGGAAACTGCTTTCAAGAGGACTGAGGATTGGATGATGAAATCTAGAAAACATAATTTTAGTCAAGACATGAGAACTGCTGTACACAACAATGAAATAATCAGATAGCATTTGCCAGTTAACAGACAGAAGATAAAATATGAAAGCAGAACAAAGTATAAACTAAACAACAATATTGTTAATTTTTTAAAAAGTTCTTTTTACATAATTAGGGTAAATATTTTCATGAACAAACAGCACTTCACATTTGACAAAAAACAGCCATCAGACACTTCTCTATCAAAGCAAGGGAGTTATATTTCATCAGTTCAAGAACAATCACTGTTTATCTTGATCCATTAACTACTATAACACCATTTCTCTTTAAATCCAGGTGGTCTTGTTCCAATTTTAAATCCCTTCTTGCAAGAAAATACGTCTCGATAGTTCTGGAATAGCAGTAAGACGTTAAGTTAAATCAAGGGGATTATGTTATAAATCTGTTTCCTGTGTACAGGAAAGCTATGAGGAAGCCAAGTTGAGCTTTTCTTTTCTTTTTTTTTTTTTTTGGTTAAAGTCACACTAAAATTGTAACAGAAAATTAGTCAATGGAACCATAATTAACTGTATTTACCAATTAACCAAATCTCAAACTTCAAACCTTGGTGTACTAAAAGCAATGAGTGGAAAAAACATTTGGCAGGATTTTATCATATCACAATGAAGATGGTGAAACAACCAATTTATCTTACTAAAAACTCGGGTCAAAAATCAGCTCTCAATTTAAAAGATGTTAAAAAACCAAACAAAATCAACACCTCAATGCACATCTTATTCACAAGAGCAATCCTGCTATTAGAACAAATCTCGATGAAATAGAATTTTAAAAATCCATTCTACAGCTTTCTCTTCTCATTTTATTTTTTCTAAGTATCAGGAGGAAAAGAAAACAGATACAGCCTACCTCTCTTCCCATGATACTTACATTACTTGTGAACTTATAAAATTATTGATAATAACATTCTTAATTGAAATGGAAAACCTGTAATGTAAAATATGCAACTTTGAAGGAATGAGCCTTCAGCAAAGACAGAAGTGGTCTTTTTAGTAAATGTGTTCCCTCTTTAGCATTTAGGACTCTTTAAGAGGTCTTCAACAAAGAACAACCAATAGTTCAAAGATAAGACTTGATGAGGTTTCCATTTAAGTAAAGACAGATTTATCCTCTCACTTCAGAAAAATATCTTGGGTCTTGTTATTGGTTTAAAACAAAGAAGTTCATACTGATTTTTTTCAACTTTTAACAGCTGATCTTCAGACAAAGCTAAAGCAATGCCATTATTCCCTTCAGCTTTCGGGACACAATACATACAACCCATTTTGGACATAGCTGGCTCAAAACCAAAACACTTCATTTTGTTATGGAGCAGAAGAGAGAACGAAAATTGCATGCTTTTCTTCCCCTCTCCCTTCATTATTTTTAATTTGACTTTCTATCGGGTTCTTGTCAAAACATTAATTCTTAGGCTTGTGAAAACTGTCTGACAATTCTGTCACTATTTCTAAGCAGCTCATTTTTTGAAAGCCACAATTTGAGTCTTGAAAGGATTTGTTATTAAGACGCAAGTCCAAATTTATTTGAAGAAAATGAAATATGAATATCATAAACCTGATGCACCACGTTGTGCAAACAGGTCAGGCTGGGTGACCAGCCACCTTCTGAACACAGTACACATCAGCAACTGCCAGTTCAACCTGCTATAGCACAGATAAGTGCTTACTGGCCACTCTGAGAAGTCCAGAGCACACTTACATTTCTTTGAGAAACTGAACAAGAGTCAATCAAAAATAATATTCTGCTAACAGTCAACACTGAAGATCTCCAATGGTTTTGGTATTCACCAAACAAACCAGTTTTGTTGCTGTGTATTACAAGAGTGTAAAAAAGCATTATACAAGATTATTTGTTCCAGACAGTCCCTATTACAGCACAGTGGTTTCAACACACTTGCAGTCAGACCAAGAAGGTTATTCTTCAATCTTAAAAGCAGTTTAAAAATCTAAACTCAGTACTGCTAAAGTCTCCTGCATTAACAGTATGATGTACAGCTTCCCACTTCTACTTTGCTTCATGGCTTTCTTAATGTTTCACTGCACAGCGGGATTTGCTAAACTGTTTTAATCCAAAAATACACACCTCAGCCACAGCTGGGAAGCTTGCAGAGTATGCTAATAGGGTTGCAGAGTAAGCTAACAAGTTATCTACTAAATATATCTGCTGATATATAATTGAGTTTTGTAACAGAGAAGCATCTGAGCTCAGTATCATGCAAAACAGACATGTTTTTATGATATTTTAATAAGCCAAAGTGCTAAAAACTTACAAAGACATTGGAAAATTCCCCCCCCAATCATTCTTGGAAGTGGAGGGATAGAAGAGTTTTGTTTTGCAGACTATGAAGAAGCCACACTTTTCTTTCTATTTCCATCCATATACCACACATTCACACATGTATTTACAAAATGCTGACTGGATGAGGAACATTCAACACTTAAAAATTATTACATCCAAATAGGTTTTCTAGTTACTTATTCATTTTATACTAAGCTTTTAAAGGAACCTGTTCCTGATGCTGTTTTGATTATTTCAGTTAAGATCCCACCCAAAACCAACAGTTAAAAATTTCACAAAAAGTTACTTCTCCAGTTGTATTCTAAAGAGAAATGGAGAGGAAAATGTCTAGTATTGGCTGTGTACAAGTCAGCAATAAGTAGTAACAAAAAAAAAGTAACAAAATAGCTTTAAACTACTTAATAACTAATGATTTTTCAGATACAGACAATATGACTTATTAACAGTAAATTAATTCAACTGTTCCTTTACCAGCAAGCATTTCTACACCATCTACACCATCTGAACAGCTATTTTCGCATGTAAAGGAAAGAAACCAAGGCCAGAACTTATCTAGAAAACACATGCCCTGTCTGGCCTTAGCATAGCTGACTGAAATAATGGCACACATCCTCAACGACAACTGAGGAATATACTGACAGAGGAAAGAGACTGGGTAAGGATGAGTTTATTTGACCTTTCGTCTGAGTGGATCAAGAGACTGTAAATCAGAAATGCCTTCCAGCCAGTACACATCAACATAACAGCTCCCAGAAATTGATCTGACATATGAAGAAACTGAAAGAAAGGACAAAAGGAAGATATCATTATGCCCACTTTTTTTCAGAAATATTCACTATGTGACTGGGGAGGACCACACTGCAGCTACTGAATCAGCTCTAACAGCATCTTATATTGTCTCCATCTTAGAATTGCTCATTAACTCAAAGCAAAAACATCAGCATTTTTCCCAGGGAGACACTACTTATTTTCTTTTAAGATGTTATTATACATATAATTATATAATGTATGTTATATAAACACATTATATAATATATAACAATGCCTTAGAAGTACAGAGGTGAAATTTATTTAAATAGGATAGTAAAACATTTTGTATGCAGCAATCTCCAATCAATTCATCAAAGTATGAGTTTTGGTTTTCAGATTTTTAACAGTGCTGTTGATTCAGCACATGCTCAGAACAGATGGCAATGGTTCGTGTACAACATAAATCAACTTTTCAAAAAAGCCCCCCCAAACGTACTTCCCTTTCCTCCTTAATGTTTATCACACCAAGGAAATCATATATAAGTTTCAGCTTTTTATTGGGCTAACGGCCCTGACCCATTGTAAGGGTTCACAAGCCAAGAACTCCAAAACATCACTAGTAAGATCATATTAAAGTAGTTTTGATTTTCAGATTGCAAAATTATGTAGCAATTTGCTAAGGTTATTCCTAAAAAATAAGGAAGTCACCTGCAGTGTTTAAATTTGGAATATCAGAAAGCGGCACTGAATTATTTTGATTTTTCCTAGGTGAACCCTTTAAAAATCATAACTGAAAAAAGTAAGACCTAAGAATATTCTCCCCAAACATCTTAGACACTATTTCACTCATGAAGATTTGCTTTGGTTTAAAATAAAGAGGTAGAATTTGAGTGTGTTGACAAGCATTCAAAAATTCTCTCGTTTTTAAACTGCCATCACTTTCAAGGCTCACATATGTCAGATGTGCAATACCCACCCCAGCATCATTTAGAAACATTCTGGGATTCTTTTAACAGGAACTATTAGATCTTAACTTCAACACACAATAATGGGACTGAAGGCTCAGAGGTGCTTCTTCTCCTGGCTCCAAGACCTCTCAAGAGAAGTGGTTAACAGAGCACCATAAAACCCTTCCAGGTAGGCCAGACAGCTATGGTGCAGCTTTTAGAATTAAGCAGACATATATTCTAGCCTAAAAAGTAAAACTGTCACACAAGTATCTTGTTTTATTTATATGTCACTTTTACTGAAGTCCATATAGAACTAAGACTTGTTTCCTCTCCCCTCCCAAAGAAAAAGCGCAAGAAGCCTTGCACCTTATATATAACGAAAATCACTCATCCTCTCTGCTGAAAACAAATATGCTGAGTATTAAGGAATAGGGAGGAAGGGTCCTAGAACACCATGAGCAGAAACACTCTCCTTTTGTTATTTTTCTTCTTTGGAGGACTCATATTTTGAAACATGATGCTGCTGGCCAACACAGACTTATGCATTCGTGAAGAAGCCGTGCTGCTCAGCAGTCAAAGGACAGCAGAGTCTTTAGGCTTGCTTTGAACTTCAACATCAGTTGTTACAGACCACGTGTCTGAGTATGTACTGCCAGCAAACAAGCACTGACCTTGAGCTGTATTTCTTTAAGATGGATTCCAAAATGTTTACCAGTTCCTCAGAGTTAATGAACTTTTGGGTGCTGAGCGTGTACATTTTTTCATAGAAGTCAGCAATTTCCATCCGAGCCTGAACAAAAAAACAGAGCTGTTCAGACAGGTGAGAAAGCAGCTCTTCCAAGTGAGGAGCTGTTCCTCCTAGTGCATTGTGACCCGTCGCCACCACCTTCTTCAGCTCATTATGCAGAGATGTGTAGATGGTTCGGATGGAGTCCTTTCGGCTGAAGAATGACTGACCACCTGTTCAGATAAATATGGAGGTATTACCAAAATTCAGGGACAGCAAAGATAGACAGCAACACTGGAAAATTCTACATAACCATGCTTGTTCTCTTCTAGCTGTTCCTAAGTGTTGTTTGATCACAGTATTTCTTTTAACCAAGAAACAAAATTCAGTATGTTATTTTGTCACTGAATTACACAGAGCATATGCTCAGAAGCACTTTATGTAATTTCGCACAAGCCACTCTTGTCCAGTTTATATCTCAGCAGCCAATGACTGCTGTAAAACTTCAACTCCCTCAGTTATGGTGTGACTTTTCAGAAAACTATGATACGTGACCTGCAAATACTGTCATCTATGGGAATCAGAAGAATCAAGTCATCATAATGTGGCTGATCAAACTTTAATAGCCTCCATCAAATTAATTAATTCTAGATCTTTTGGGGAGAATTCCCCTAGCAACCCCTCTTCAATCACAAAGCACTCAAATTTGCAAAGCAACCTTTAAGCCAGAACCATGTGACATCTGTGTTTACCAGTCAAACGTTCCTAGTCCCTACACGGTCTTAATATAAAGCAAAATTCAAAGGGAAAACAATCACACTTTATCTCAGTGAGACCACAGTGCAGGTTAATCCGTAACTAAAACCTGGGGTGAGGGGGATAAGGGGGAAGAAGTTGTCTGTGCTTCCTTCTACCTGCTCAACACTATGAGAAATTTAAAAAAGAAAAAAAGACTGAAGTAGAGGGTCAAAGGAAAGGATATTTAACTTTGACACTACCAAAAGACTGCACAAATGTACTAACCTTATTTCACACTTTCTATTTACAGAAGAACTTATGTGCCACTGTGGCACTCAACAGCTGCAGCAGAGCAAGGATCACAGGGATTGGGTTGGTGGAACTTCTAAAAATTCCAAATTTAGGTTCCATGTTGAAACTGCTTATAAATTTTGTAAGGGTGGATCCATTTTACATATATAATGTTCAAAGGTGACCTTAGCAATTTGAGGCAGAAAGACAGAGAACTGGATATCATTGTGAAACAGCTCCCTTCCTAAGCCATGAGTAGCCCTCATGTCATGGGCAGGATGAAGAATCGTCTATTGTAGTTGTCCATGAAGTATATAAACAAACAAAACTTTGTCCTTTCTGTTCTCAATTTCATCCTTTCTGCAAGCACCAAATTAACTTTTAAAGTCAGTCTTATAGACAGTGTTGTCTTTAAATATATAAAATAGTTCCAAGTCACCACTTAAACACCAAAGCAGAATTTTCTTGATGCTTTACTGTGTTACACATCAGACCCATATCCCTTGATCCATTTTCCATGCTTGTCTGCAGTTCAAAGAGAAAACAAGCAGCCTTGCCCAGAGGGAAACATGATGACAGCTCATCCTGTGCCAGTTTGCGATTTTTCTATTCATGCACTAAGAAAGCAAGAAGCAGCCAAGACTGTGGCCAAAGCTTCTTGAGATCCTGCAGAGTCTGTAGGATGCTATCTCCAGCCCCAAGTACTTGCACATACATACGCAGATCTAACATCAGCTTTAACCCTTTCGTCACCCCACTGAGCTCACCTTTGCCCAGATCTCAGCCAGAGAATCTCAGCACAGAAATATCTCTAGCTAAATTTTGGGAAGGGGAAGCCGGCCAGCGAAGAGCTGCATCGATTGGCACAGGAGCCACCGTGCCACCTGCACTGCACCTGCATGCACTCTTGTTGATTCTTTAGCCGCAGCCCAAACAGCACAGCCGATTTCTCCCCGGGCCCAGGGACACTTGCTGACCCAGCACTTGTCCTTCAGATGCACAGGCACGCACCTGGCCGAGGCACAGACCTCAAGTCGCTCAGGTACTCAGCTCTGTGTACCCACGGGCTGACATGGCCTCACACCGCCCGCTTCCCCCCGCGGAGCCGCACTCGGGGCAGGCCCCCGGCTCGGGCGGGCCCGGAGCGGGGAGAGAGCGCCACAGCCTGAGACGGCGGGGCCAGTCCCTCCTCCCCCGGAAAGGTACCTAGCTTCTGTCCCAGGAAGGTCATGCTGTGATAGGCCTTCTCGGCCGCCGCCAGGTGCGCCAGCCCGGCCAGCAGCGCCAGCCAGCTGGACCCCGCGCTCTTGTTGGCCTCCCGCTCCTTCTCCACGTTGTCCTTGGCCTTGTCGTAGGAGAAGATGCCCAGGTGGGAGAAAAAGGTCTCCAGCACGGCCTGTTCCACCGGCACGGGCGCACCCAGCGGGATCGACTCCCCCATCCCGCCCGGCGCCTCCGCAGCGGCCGCCACTTCCGGGGCTGGTGCCCGCGCGCGCGAGAGACCGCGCTCGCGCCCGCCCCTCTGCACGTGACAGGCGGGGCGGGCAGCGGACGGGTCGGGGTCACGTGACCGGGCGAGGCGCACTGTACTCGGGGCGGGGCAACGGGAAAACGGGGAGCGCCGAGCCCGGCGGAGTTCCAGCCGTGTCCGCGCTTGGAAAGACCGGGAGCGCCGAGCTCGGCGGTATTCCAGCGCCGTCCGCCTTCGGAAGACCCGGAAGCCCCAGAGATCCGCCCGTACATACTGCGCGTTGATGTTTTCGGGCTGGACACACCGGCGCTGGTTCCTGCTGAGGTCTCCTCCACCCTGCCTGTTACATTTTGTGCTTTAACTTAACTCTGAAGCCCGTTTCCATGGGCTTCGTTCTTTCAGTTGAAACGTTCTAAAAACCAACGTCGTTCTGATGCCCTTATTCCCACTCTTTGAGTCCCACAGGACCCTCCAGCTACTTTGGGTTTATAGTTCCCCCCTCCCTCATGACTGGGAAGTAGTGGATTGCCCAAATTAATGCCATTTTTTTTCATTCGTGTTTTGGACAGATGAGCTGCCTGAACTGATTCCCTGTGGAGGGGATGAAAGGCGCAAAGCTGAGCCAGAGGGCTGTGAGGCTGTGGAAGGGGGGCTGCTGTGGCAGCACTGACAGGTCTAAGTTCTGCAGGACAACCACCTGCCCTTACACAGACAGTTCCCCTCCAGCTAACTCAGAATAAAAACGTTCCCAGGCTCCCCTCAGCACAGTACTTCCCTGCACTCTACTGGTGCCAGCATTTGTCTTTAAGCAAACATCTAAAGCACAGCATCAGTTCTCTAACAGCAAGATCCAAGTACGAACTTAGGCAGCTGACTGCCTCTTGTTCAGAAAATACTCCAAACACACCATCATTGAAAACAGGTATCAGATGCAAACGCCGGCTTTATGTGTGAAACAGCCTTAATTAACCTTAACTACACAGAGCCTGCAAGTTTTTTACTATGGCATTATACATTAAGGATGGGGTTTGGATGTAAAAATTAATTTTCATAGTTTTCATTCATTCATCTAATAACAAAGGTAAGTCTGCCTAGCCCTCCGTCACTTTTCATTTCCAGGCACCTCTGTATGCATACTGGAGTTAATTCTGAGCGGTGTGGTGTGTAACATCCTTGAAAAAGTTCAGGTTAGAACTACAATTTTGGCTTTAAATGCTTAAAATTGGAAGCAGCTTAAGTGAAGTTGACAAGTCTGAATTCTGCATGCACCAAAAGCTGCCTTCTTCCTGAATTCAACTGTTTACTTAGTGTGCCGAAGAGACAAAATGCATGTAGGATTGTACATGCTCAGTAAGACTTCTCTGACGTGGTAAGTCGGTTATTAAAATTTGGTTTATTGATGGAATATTTTAGTAATTTAAATCAGCATGTGAAACATTCACCTGTTCAAGACAATCACAGCTGTAAATTGCAAGCTGCCAATGGTTTACAGAAAATAAAGAGTAGGAGGGGGACGACTCCTAAAGAGTCAGGACACTGTCTCCAAAAGACAACTGGGAGTCAAAGGTTCAAGTAAGACCTTTATTGCAACACAGAGTTGACAGCATGTTTTTGTATTTAATAAAAAGTATTTGGTCTCTTGGTGGTGAAACGCGGTTTGTGCTGGCGACGCAGAACTCTGTGTGGCAGAGGGAACTTGATTTTAGAATCCTGCAAGAAAAAATGTTTCTACGTTAATAGAGTATTAGATAAATAACAGAAAACAGTTTGCAATAAATAGCCAAGCCGTATTCCATGAATAACTCACACAGAGAAGTAATGCATCCACAAATTAGATATACTTCATGGGCCTTCAGGGATGCCTTAATTTTGCATTTTTAAAAGAAATGAGGCACGTTTTCTGCACTGTAACACATATTCACTTCATTGTGACTTTCTTCCAAACAATTCTAGCTTTAGAAGCCTTGATCATAATATACCAAAATTGTAAACCTCTGCATACAAGTTTGGTTCCCTCCCTATTTCTGGCTGCAAAGCAAACCTGTACCAGACAAGATAGCTCCCCTCTTCCAGTCCAGTGTTGGATCAGGACCCACCAGCCACTGCAGTGCTGGTTCACTTACATGGAACTGCTTGACAGCTGGTCTGCGGCACTTGCTGGCAGCGATTTCCTCAACCTTCATGATCTGAATAGAGTGAGCACGGGCACGGTGACGGGCTCCCATATCACGGTCTGGAACAAGAGAACTCATTAAAACTGAATCTTAAGGACATTTTTTGTTCAAAAATCTTATAAATGCCTTTTCAGGAAATGTTCATAGTGCCATCTACAACTTTCTACATTTCTGATCAACCCTAGTTAAAATCATACTGGATTTAATATGTAAAGTGATGGTACAAATATCACAGAACCAACAGGCAGCAGCAAATTCTTCCAATAACTCATTACCAAACTCTTCTCGGAAAGTGCCATCTTATTATTCTTGCCTGATTTCAAGAAGGCACACATGTATAGAAGAAATATATGTGAGCCTATTTCATTTTTTGCACAGAAAAAATTCCTGTGATTCAGAATTAACCCTGAAGTATGATTACTGGAAGGTGCAAGTAAAGGTAGGACCTGAGGATATCTTTACTTTTCTTGAAACTGACCAGTGATGGAATCTGATATTCAGCCCACATGCTTAGGCTTTCAGAACAAGAGGAAGCCATCTGTGCATGGGCTACCTGAAAATTCCTCCCTACAGCAGTGCAAATTGCTGCCTTCAAATCAAGACGTCCATAGCCAGTTTCACAAGATATGCCTGTTGAAATACTATTGTGCTTATAATGTTTCCCACGAAGACCTAACATACCTATTAAAAACTTACCTGTCACAAGTATTCTTGAACATAGAAGTATCAGTCACTGTATCATGATAAATAAGGTTCTTGGTCTCTTAAGCAGTCCTTCAGTATGTTAAATAACGGGGATGATTGTAAAGTAATGTAGAACCTTAAATTTCACTTTCAACAGCACTTCAGCTTTTGAAAGGCGACAAGATACATTTAATATTTGCACACATGACAAGAATATCATTATTAAGAACAATATTCTTTGGGTTTTTATGTGCATTCTGTAGTGTTTATAACACTGTGGAGTCAAATATCAACAGCATCAGCTATACAAATGTTCTATCCCTCAAGTACTTCACAAAACAGACTGAAATCAGGTCAACCTTTAATTCTCCCTGAACTGAGACAATGAGATCTTAGAGTAACAGAGACTATAGTTTTTTTCCTGTGATTTTTTTTACTTGCTCTCCACAGGACAGATGCTAGTATTTTCCACATGATATCTGAAATATTCTCTCCACAAGACTTTGCAATATATATTCAATTATCATAAAACAATAAATAATAGTGCAAGAAATACATATAGCACCTAAAAGATCACTATACTGATCATTATACTCTCAGTTTGTAGGGTAAAACTCATTACTAGAATTGTAGAAAGTCACACCACGATGAAGTGGGAATATTTTCAGTCAGTGACACTGTATAAAGACCGGTAACAAATAAGATTCCACATATACATACATAAACAACCATGGAATTATCTGGCAACCCCCTACTTTATTTTTCCAGTGTTTTAGTTATCTTACTATGGATTAAGTCAGCACACTTCATGCTCAGTTTGAGATTCAATCTTCTGTTATATATTGATGCTATCATTTATACCTCATTTACAGATACTTACAGCACTGAGTGACAGCACCAGCTGTGGTCAAATCTCTGTACTCCCTGTACATGTTGTGGGTTCCACTACGAGAATCGTAGCGCAACCAGATACCAAAATTTTTTACTCGCAGAGGGGACTTCTCATACACCTGGAATAACAGAAGAGCATGAAAATGGTTAGAGACAATGCGCTATCGCCACTTTACACTTTTAAGAATAAATATTTTAGAGCTCTAATGAAATCACTGTTCTAAGTTTTACTGTCAAAAACAACTCTTTGCTCTCTTTACCTCTAACAGCATAAGTGGATTTACGTCTGGGTAATTCAGACTGTAGAGTTTTAGGAATTCATCATGGAAAAAAAATACAAGACTTCAGCTCTAAAGAATGTTCTTGAAGTAAGAACAATCAAGGCAGAAGAGTATAAGCATATAAACGTCCACTCTCCCACTACTATGAATGTCCAGATGTCTCTTAAAAGGTATACTGGCCAATGAAGCAAATCCAAGAATAAGACAGCAGCGCTGACTAGTGACATGGTTGATAATTCTGAAATGTTGGGAAGTTTCTATTTAGTTTACAGGACATATACCACCACTTTCAAAAAAGAGATTTCTCACTTCTTTTTACAGCAACTGACGGATGAATGAATTTCAGTCTCAGTCCCAATAACAGCAATTCCTAAAAATTCCTTTCACATACACCAGCTGGAATCACGCACCTGGCCACAGTACACAATCTCTCCAGAAGACTTCTTCATCTTCTTCAGCTGAGAGACGAAGTACCAGAATCGGGACTTGGCGACGACGTGGTTCGGAGCAAAGATCCGCATGCGGTACAGAGGAGGGGTCGTGCATTTCGGCGTGGGCAGGCACCGCCCAACCACCTTGTACTCCCGCAGCTGGGGGGACACGAAACACAGACAGCCCGCAGTGTGAGTGAGCCGCGGAGCCACCGCCGCGCCCGCCACACCCTGCCCACCCTGCGCCAACCCCGCGGCGGGATCCGCGGCTCCGCAGAAGAACAGCGCGCCGAGAACAGCTCAATCCAAGGGCACAGAGAGCCCGCCGCACGGATGGACAGATCTCCCCGTGGATCTCCCCCCGGTGCCGCCGGCGATCCGGGCCCGCGCCGGGCGGGAGCGGCGCCGCCGCCATGTTGGGCCGCTCGTCGCTTCACGGGCCGGGCAGCGCCGCTCGGGCAAGCACGCGTCGCTCTCAAGCGCCGCAACTCGGCGCCGCCGCCCTCCCCGCGGCTGCCTCAGTGTCGGCCCCGGCCGCCACCCCCATGCCGGCGGTGCCCTCCGCGCCCCGACCCACACTCACAGTGCCCGACGCCTTCATGGCGCTCCTCCGCCGCGGCCCGCACGAAAGGAAAGGGACGGCCGCGTGCGCCGCCGCCTCACGTCACTCACCTGCCTCCGGGCCCGCCCCCGGCCGTGCGCGCTGCCCATTGGCTGGGAGCAGAGCGCGATTGGAGGGCGCAGCTGTCAGTCTCCGCTGGTGGCGGTGGGTTCTGGGCTAGCGGATCCACGTGGCCCAGCCCGGCCCACGCTCGTTCTGCCGCGCGGCCTGCGGTGCCCCGGGCCCTTCTCCCGGAACCGTGCCCGCGGACTCGAATGGGCGGCCTGGCTGTGCGTGACTCCTTCTCCCGCTGGTTCTGCTCGCGTTGCCGCGGGGGACGTGGCAGGCATGCTGCAGGCGGAGGCACCGCGCTCCTCTCGAGCCGGTAGCCGGGCGCGCAGGGCTGACCCCTGCGGATCCCTCCCCGCACTCAGTTCTAGGGGATCTGTTTCGCGGCTGGTCCCGCCGGGCGCTCGGTCCCCAGCGCACCGTGCGCGGGCAGCGGCTCTGCTGGGGGGAAGAGCGAGGGTCTTCGAGCGCTGTGCGCCTCACGGTTTCGGGAGCTGCGCTGCCGTAGCCGCGGGGCGAGAGTGGGTTTTGATACTGTTGAAAGATACTGTAACAGCAGCAGTGCTGGGACGGCTTGTAAATGACTGCAGCGTATTGCTGCAGTTGTTCCCATTTAGGTCCCGGCCGTTTAAACCGGCTCCTTACGGACGTGCGGGCGCCTGATCACGCCAAGTCCCACTCGCGCCGCGTCGTTGCTGAGCCCTTGGCGCAGGAGCCCAGTGCCACATGTGCAGGCAGCTGCTGGATCGCTCCTCGCGGACAAGCCTGCGCCAGCCCGGGCCCTTCCCCGTGCGCGTCCCCGAATAAGTCGCTCCGGTCGCGACTGCGGAGCTCGCACCAGTGGCTAGGCCCGGCCTCGCTGCTGCTGCTGACACAGCACGATTTGCAGGGCAGCCCCGGTTTATTCCATCGGTGCGGTCGGTTTTACAGCAGTGCTGGCGGTACCGAAGGGGGAGGTGGGACTACGACTCCCAGGGAGCGGCGGGGCCGGGGCGGGGGCGCATCCCGGCGTGCGCCGCGCCCGGCCGGTTTGGCGACAGGGGCGGTCTCGCTCCTCCTCCTCCCGCCGCTAGCTGAGGCGGCGCGGCCCGGCTCGGCCCGCTCCCTGTGCTCGTGGCGGCCGTGGAGCCGCAGAGGTGGGCGGGAGCCGGCGGTGATGGAGCACTGACCAGGAAGGTACGGGCGGGGGGCGCGGGCAGGACGCGACACGCGGCGCGGGTGACTCAGCCCGGCGGCGGCGGGGAAGGGGCGGTGTGGGCTGAGCTGGTGGCGCCCGCGGGCTCCTGTGAGTCCCCCGGCCGGCTCCCTCAGCCCGGCGCCGCCTCCCCCTTGGCCAAGAGGCTCAGGGGCGGGGGGGGGGGAGGCACCGCCGCCTCCGTGCTCACCCAGCCCTGCTGCTGGGGGGCGGCGGGGGCGCAGCCGACTGTTCCCCGCCGGGCCCACCCTCCGGGAACCGCGAAAAAATATCGGTGTTTTTCTCTGCTAATATGCGCAGTAGCCTGCGGTGCGGTTCTGTTCGCGGGAGCTGCCGCCTCCGTGGCCGTCCCTCCGCTGTAGCTCTGGTGGGGGAAGGAAGAAATCGTAGGACCGCAGCGAGAGGGGAGGGAGGGACCTCCCCGCACTTCCATGTTCCGCCCGTCCCGGCGTGGTGGGAGCGGAGGTTCCCCGCCGCAGGAGAGCCGAGTGCTTGGTCACTCGCAGCGGCCCCGGGACGGGGCTG